TGTAACCTTGAAATGTAAAGTCAATTAAAAGACAAGACATTAAGTCTTTGACTTGAAATGTAAGCTCAATAAACAAGGCACACTGTCTTTGACCTTGGTTTTATGGTCTGAAATGTAAGCTCAATATCTTTGACCTTGGTTTTGTGGTTTGAAATGTAAGCTCAATAGACAAGGCATAAGGTCTTTGACCTTGGTTTTGTGGTTAAATATGTAAGCTCAATAGATAAGGCATAAGGTCTTTGACCTTGGTTTTGTGGTTTGAAATGTAAGCTCAATAGATTAGGCATAAGGTCTTTGACCTTGGTTTTGTGGTGTGAAATGTAAGCTCAATAGATTAGGCATAAGGTCTTTGACCTTGGTTTTGTGGTGTGAAATATAAGCTCAATAGACAAAGCATTACTCTATGAACCTTGGTTTTTTATGGTTTGAACATATGGCAAATAGACAATGAAATGGTTTATATACCTAGGATTTGTAGATTGGGACCAAATAATAATTATATCTAAAAGTTTAACATGGTATTATGATTGAAGATAATACTTCTTTTGCTATTTGAAATAAAAAAATCATTTTGAGTTGAGGACTGTGCACAGAGTACACTTCTTTGGTAACTGATTGTCAGGACAGGGCTGACGTAGTGTGACAAACTGGTGATAAATCCAAAACAAACAAGTAAGCAAGCATGCAGAATATCTTTAATGAAGAAAAGCTTCACAAACATGTATCATAACATATAAAAGAAATAGTACCATAAAATAATTACTCAAACATTCGTACTACTTGTGGGGTAACCACTTTACATGTACCTGCTAGGAAAACATAAAGGAGTTTCATACTTGCTGAAGAATTAGAGCTCTTCTCCCTGTAGATGTACATAGTTTATTACGATTAGGGTAATAAATCATTTACATGCTATTTGTCAATTTGAATTGAAGCTATTTGAAAAAAAATAGCCCAAGATAACATTTCTTTTCTACTTTTGGTTTATCAAGTGTAAGAATACATTTTAGTTTGATGGTAGAAAGTAGTTCTGAATTTATAAAGATAATCTAAATCAACATGTATTGAAGTGTTTTATTACCATTAATTTTTTGTTTTTATAAAGTGGTTTATGATTTATAAACTATCCAACAGTCTTATACACAGTGGTACTTAAGTTGATGATTGCATTTTACATTAAAAAGGAAAATACAAAATGTACATGTACAGACAAACTTTAGTTTGCATATGTCTTTTTGTCTATAAATTGTCAAAATACATAACCACCTTTAACCCTTTTGTCTGAATTTACGTCTGCTACCAGATTTTTGCTTTTCAGTCAATTTACTGTAAAAAATGGTGAATTTTTGTGTCCAGATATAGATATGAACAAGTTAAATTTATGACATTTAGCGGGATTTAATTATTATTCAGGTCAGTTTATATCCTGTCATTAAGACAAGTTATAAACCTAAGGTCAGGTCATATTGTATTCTATAATGATCAGCAGTAATGTAGCAAATCTGCCTGCATGTCATCATTACAACCAGTAATGAACCATGGTGGTTATGGTGATGTTGGTAGTTTTGACCATGGGTCACGACAGTAAGCCACATTGAATTTACAAGAGCACAGTTCAGCCACCCCATCGTTCCTAGGCAGGGTGTCTAGCAGTTAGTAGCCTTCAGTTTCACAAGGAACTGATTACTGCTCTACAAACAAAAGCAGAGGTACAGTGCGAATGACCTTAGAAAGGATTTCATGATCAATCGCAACTAAAGTGACATCTGTGAATCAAACCCAGGTTATGAACCATGGAAATCTGCATACCATTATTTATACCAGCAGTGAACCAGTCAAGACTGAATTACAACATTACACCATTATAAAGCAAGACTTAATGCCACATTTACTATACCAGTAACAGTCACCAGGCAAGCCAGCAATCAATAATATTCCTGTTGTGAATCAGGCTAACCTGTATGCTGCCATTGCTACCAGTAATGAATCAGGACAGCCTGTAATTTCCACCATTTCTACCTATATTAAACAAGAACAGTCTGCATACTGTCATAACAACCTGTAGTTAACCAGGTCAGTCTACATGCCACCATTGTAACTACCTTTAGTGAACAAGTCAAGTCTGCATACTGTTATAAACAAGGCCAGTCCACATACCACCATTACTACCTTTAGTAAATAAGTCAGTCTACATACTGCCATTACTATCTTTAGTTAACCAGGCAAGTCTGTATGCCACCATTACTACCTTTAGTAAAGAAGTCAGTCTGCATACTGCCATTACTACCTTAAGTAAGCCAGGTCAGTTTGCATGCCACCATTACTACCTTTAGTAAACAAGTCCAGTCTTCATACTGCCATTACTACCTTTACTAAACCAGGTCAGTCTGTATGCCACTATTACTACCTTTAGTAAACACTGCCAGATTACATACTGCCATTACTACCTTTAGTAAACCAGGTCAGTTTGCATGCCACCATTACTACCTTTAGTATACAAGTCAGTCTACATACTGCCATTACTACCTGTAGTAAACCAGGTCAGTTTGCATGCCACCATTACTACCTTTAGTAAACAAGGCCAGTCTACATACTGCCATTACTACCTTTAGTAAACCAGGTCAGTCTGTATGCCACTATTACTACCTTTAGTAAACACTGCCAGATTACATACTGCCATTACTACCTTTAGTAAACCAGGTCAGTTTGCATGCCACCATTACTACCTTTAGTATACAAGTATGTCTGCATACTGCCATTACTACCTTTAGTAAACCAGGTCAGTCTGTATGCCACCATTACTACCTTTAGTAAACAAGGCCAGTCTACATACTGACATTACTACCTTTAGTAAACCAGGTCAGTTTGCATGCCACCATTACTACCTTAAGTAAACAAGTCAGTCTGCATACTGCCATTACTGCCTTAAGTAAACCAGGTCAGTTTGCATGCCACCATTACTACCTTTAGTAAACAAGTCAGTCTGCATACTGCCATTACTCCCTTTAGTAAACCAGGCCAGTCTGCATATCACCATTACAACCATTAGTAAACCAGTCATGTCTACATACTATCATTTCTACATGTAGTAAACCAGTCCAGTCTGTCAAAAGGTATAGGTTGGCAGCAAATGTTGGTGATAAATGTTCCTCTGTCCTTTTTATGGTGATTATAAATCTATATTTGTAATAATATGAAGCTTTTAAAAAGTTGTTTATTGTATCCCAAACAGTAATTGTTATAGTTTCTATAGATGCTGGTTTTTTAGTGAAAATATGGCCTTTTTCCTTTTTGTCTTTTATGAAGTTTTATTAAAACTATTCATATTAAAATAAATTTTGTGACAGATAATTTATATACCAAGGTATGCGTTGACAAGTGACACTATCCTAGTGAAATATTCAATTCCATCATGAATGTATCTGTTAATACCCCATGCAACGATTTGGCAAATATTTATATTTACTTTTCAACCCAAAGTCTCTAAACTTATTTTTATGGCAATAGATAAATGGACATTTACCCGCATTATGTACCCCTTCAAATAACCAACTGATTTTATGTATGTAGAAAAAAATATTTCATTCAAATATTCCAATTGATTGGACTTTAATTGATTTTTCAATAAACCAAATATTTTGATTTTTATTCGGATGGAAGATAATCTAATGGATTTACTTAAGAAGTAACTCGGCCAAGAAATGAAGTGTATCTACAACTAAATTTACTTATATCATGAACAATCGTAAATTTTTGTCTTATTTGAATACAGGTGTTGTAAATATATTTTATAACTTACATCGACATGACCGATGTAAAAGTTAGTCAGGGGGAACAGTTTAATTACAAAGTCATGTAAATATATATATATGGACATTGCTTCATTTGACATTATGATAATACATGTATTTTGACAATGGTAACGTATCAAATATGATTGTTATGTTTTCTTGGTAAAAAAACAACAACAAAAAAACGAAATAGAAATAACAACAATAAAGCACACAACAAAAGCTAATGCAGTGCAAAGATGTAAATATGGAAATTATATATGGACTTTAACAGTGTGTAATAGTTGGTATAAAGTAGGAAAAATAAATGCATTGTGCAAAATTTTGAGCTTTATGACATGGCATGTATGACTTCATATTTTATAAATACTGTTGTTGTTTTCTTGTTGATAAATTTTGGGAATCAAACTTTTTATTTTGTTTTACATGTATTTATTTTTTTTTTTACAGAAATTAAAGCTTACAGGTACCCAATACCATTACAGCTGTGATTTTTTTGTATTTTGTAACGTAATTTGCTATCAAACATTGATATGACTTTAAAAATGATAAATAAAAAACAATATTTATTTTGGCACATGTTTCATATCATTTTATAAGGAGATCTTTCAAAATTACATACATTTATTTGTTTGCTTGTTTGGTGACTTTCATAGAATCAAATATATGTATAACAAATCTGAAACTTTTGAAGAGTTGCCTTAACATATTACCATTCTTAAAAAATTGAATTCTTTATGAATAGAAAGTAATCTTACTAGCTGTAACACAGGGTTTTTGAGGCTGTTTAATTGCTTGAAAACATGCCTGAGGGACACCTGCTTAGTGGCCCCCCGTCAGTGAATCTCGGAAGTTGCCATATGACTTAATATCAGCATGACTAAAAGACAACTTTTAATGTCACACACACACACACACATACACAAACACAAAAAATAAACAACAAAAAAAAACAACAAAAACTAAAAAAAAAATTCCAGATAAAATTTTCTCTAGTGCTTTGTAATCTAATATTTTAAATCAACTAACTGCACTTGTAACATCTCATGTTTATTTGCTATTACAGATTATATACGATTGCTGTGATTGGCAGCCACTTCGACATGACAGATTATTAGGACAAATATAGTAAGTACTTTTTTTGTCTGCGACAATACTGCACCTCGTATCAACACTTTCGAGTATGTTTTATCGGGCCTATCAGTAGTAATTGACGTTAAAGTAATTGTTATCTACAGTTTAAACAGTTTGAAAAATCAAATTTTAGATATTAATTTTTAAGATATCCTACATTTACACGGTACTGCGGGAATGCCAAAATCAATTTACGAAAATTTTGCTAACAAGGTGAAGTGCTTTCTCCCTTATTATTGTTAAACTTTTATACTAAGTATGGGGTCTTTTGGTATGTGAAATAATGCTATTTTAAATACCTACAATTACTTTTGTGGTAATCATGTATAATTATACATATCAGTTACTTTTTAAAGATTATCGCAAGTAAATTATAACAAGTATCTGATTTATGAATTTGTGAATTTTGTGAAGTTTAGCTTCGACTCTACTAATTGTAATAATTTAGTATGCTCTTATACAGTGGAGTTTGAAGTTTTTTTCCTCTGATATTTGGAATTATATAAATAATTAATTGAAATAGGTAAGCTATTTCAGTGATAATTACATGCAAGTTACCAGATTTTAATATTCTATTTAATTGAATAATTTATGTGTCTTTATCTTAGATTTTTTTTTTTCAAATAAATAAAGCTACATGAAGCAGCTTCACAGAGGTCAAAAAGCCTAAAACCATAAAATTTGAAAACATTCTTATACAGATCAAGTGATGCACTTTAATGGAAAAATTTGCCTAAGGAAATAAAAAAATATACTTAGAATTATATTGAATACAGTACTGATTATTTTGTGCGATTTCTAGCTCGATTTGAGTGAAAAGTGTTCCAATATTTTTCACTTCTTTTTTTTTTTTTTGGTACTGTATACTACTTTCTTTTGTGTTCTGTACAGCAGCTTTTAGTAAATTTAGTAACCATCGTTTTCCGTTATAGGCACATTATGCCTCAGAAAAGATTTTTTTTATATATTTTATTTTATTTTATCTTTCTATTGAAAGTGCAAAATGAGTTTAGAAATGTTGTAATAATGGATTTAGAACATCATCTGATGATAATATTGTTGAATATGAAATCAATTGTGATATTTGGTATTTTGACTGCTAATTAGAAAATACTAATTATAACTATAACTTTACTCGTTACCAAAGCGCCAAAGAAACTAAAGATGGTTCAGAAATATGACCAATGAGTAACTTTTAGGAAACTGTAAAAGGACACCAAAAATAACACAGCTTTTGAATCAAAGCACAGAAGGCGCTGAATTTGTTTGGGTCTCAGAATGTAAGAAAGGTGCAGGTTGTGAGATTATATGTATAGTGCCACCAATGCTTTCCAGCGTTTTAATTGTAGTAAATTGGCTATAAGACTAATTGCAACACTGATATTCAATCCAATGTTTATTTGACTTTAACAATTTGAAAAAAAATGAGTTACCTTTACTGGGATTTGAACTCCAGACCTCTCGCTTCCTAAGCGAGCCCGAAAACCCTTCAGCCACGGTGAATTTATATGTGAACGGGCTGAAGAAAACCATATTATTCTAAATTAGGGCTTGTAACGACTTTAACTGTTGTTTAACACAGATGTAAATAATCCTGGAGCTTACTATAAGCATTTATATTTATAAAGAATCAAAGGGCTGCAAGTTCTGTGGTATTTTCTGATCTTTGCAATCTAAATCAACTGTATATCTGTATGCATTTTCCTGTATAGGTTCATTTTTATGTATTATAATTCATTTTGCAAGGCACCAGAGTTTGATACATACGGAATTCTGCATAACTAGAGTTGCATCAAAAAATCATTTATGTTCATTTTTTACGACAGCCACACTTTATCCTTGCATATCATGGCTACTTCCTTAACAAAAACACTTAAAAAAGAATTTAACAAAAAAAAAAGTTTCCACAACTGGGATTCGAACTCGAGACCTCTCACTCACTTAGCGAGCGCGTTACCACTGTACCACGGAGAAGTTATACACAGAAAGTCTGAATAATATCAAGTCATTCTAAATTTAGAACTTTCATTGCATTTCGGGTTTGTAATCCTTATTAATTTCGAGGTATTTTGTTCAGGGTAAACCTGTTGTTTAAAATTGAAGTAAATATATTAGCGAAAATCCTCTCGCCCAAACAGTCCGACATGTAGAGTCTATATATTCCACTACTCGGTTTGTGTAGTATTCGGTAATAAATAGTATTTTCATTGATAAAATCATATTCATCGGCGTAATTTGTGATTGTGCATTTAATGACAATTCTATAAGCCAACGCTATTGTTTAACTTTAAATGCGTTGGATATAAATTTGTTGGATACCTGTAACAAAATAAAATATTTCTTTCTTTTAAATCGCTAGTTTTAAGCTGTTTTGAGAACTACTTGTTGTTAGGTTTGTCGTTAACTTCTGTGTCAGAGATTGAATGTCCGCTTTGTATTTAGTTATTTTCGATCAGAAAATACAATAAAACAATATTAGAAATCTTCGACCATTCGGGAATTACTTTGCTTGAAAATTGATGCGCCTGTCTTTGACCATCTTTACGCAGTGATCTCCCCTGAATTTTTCGGCTTTAGTGTACATACAAAAGGAAAGTAACCGCTTCAAAAATGTGGACTACTTTCGGCATTTGCAATTAACAACATTAGACTCTGAAATTTCGCTACCATTATTTGTTTGGTCTGACGACCCAAACAAATAAAAAACTAGAGTGATAGAATTGTTAGGCTTAAGTTTTCAAATATCAGTCTGAAAATCTCAAATAATTTTTTTTTAAGACTGTGTTATTTTTAAAGTGTGGATAAAGGGATTAGATGACATAAATTAGCATCTCAGCAGTTTCATTCTTGACATACCTGGCACATAACATGTAATTATCGGATAATAGCTGACTTTAACAGGCAATTTGTAGCACTGATTAAATCGGGACAATAATTGAATTTCTTCATGTATATTCATTAATTTTGAAAGGTGGTCATCATTGGTACACTGTGTACTGTAAATGTATTAATTTTGAAAAATTCACTTGTATAAAAGGATAAAATGGCAATGCCCTTTCTATTTGGTGGACAAGTGTGGGAGATATAGGTGAAGGGGGGGGGGGAGGTTGGAGGGAGGTTCTATTTAATTAAGGATGCTAGGGGATGCGGATGGTGCTCAGATATCAAATTATTTTAATTTGGAATTAACTTTGTTCAACACTTCCTGTTAATTTCAATGCTACAGTACATTGTATAATTTTTATATTGCATCATACCATGGGCATTATACTTATACATTTGTATTCTATTTGATTTGTAAAAAATGGCTTTATTTTACGTCAGAAATTCACAAAGTAGGGGGTAGAGAATCATTGAGAAAAAGTGTTGTATAAAATATCATATAGAATTGATTATTGAAGTAGAGTCTATAACATATAAGGTATAAATTATGGGTTTGAGCTCCTGGAGAATTTATCTATTCATTTCTAAAATCAATTGATGATAATATTCTTTTAATGCTTTAATTAATGTTATCTTGAATTAACTGTTAAAGTATTTGATTTTAAGTGGGTTATAACAGCAATGTGATATTTCATAATTTTTTGTTCCCATTTAGGTATGATAATTATCCTATGTGATCTCACTCCTAAAGGGTTATATCTATTTTTCATTTTGGAGGAATTTCATTTGAAGGTGATTTAAGCCTGTATATCAAAAGGAATAAAGGATTAATTGTTCAAATTTATTTAGATTGATTTATAAATTGTTTGAATATAAAATTATCTTTAATGGGGATTAACATAATTCATCAACAGTCACTCTTTCAGATCAGCTGCAATAGGAGTAGGTTCATTTGAGTTTCTGGTATACAGCTTCAATAATAGCAGATACATTTGAGATCCATATAATATTGCATCTGCAATAATGGCAGATACATAATTTTTGTGTTTCTGGTATGCAGTTTTAATAATGGAAGGTCTGTTTATGTTTCTAAAAATGCAGCTACAAAAAGCATATTTCTTTTAGTTTCTGGTATGCAACTTCAATAATTGCCAATACATTTGAGTTTCTGGTATGCAGATGTAAAAATGGCAGATTCATTTGAGTTTCTGGTATGCAACTGCAATAATTACCAATACATTTGAGTTTCTGGTATGCAACTGCAATCATTACCAATACATTTGAGTTTCTGGTATGCAGCTGCAGTAATGGCAAATACATTTGAGTTTCTGGTATGCAGCTGCAATAATGGCAAATACATTTGAGTTTCTGGTATGCAGATGTAATAATATATTATTTCTTTTAGTTTCTGGTATGCAGATGTAATTATAGCAGATCCATATGTGTTACTTTATATATCTCACAGTGAATGCCTCTATATCTCAAAGTATAGTCAGATGTAAAATAATTTCCTGTCAGAAATAGTAAGAATTTTGCCATTATAATGGCAATATCAGTTCTGAACATTACTTCAATAAAAACATTGAAACAAAAGTTTGAGGGAAAAACATACTTTGATAGTAATCACTGGTGTATTTACTAGTAAATGGCAAGTTATTTATTAAGTGATTTTTTTCTATAAAACATGGTTACAGGGGATGATATGGCCTGAATCTTTTATCCATTATTATACATGAATAATTGTGTTGTTATTTTCATTATAAATACAAAAACAGGAAAAAAATATAATATCTTATACCAAGCTGTGATGAAAATCTGTAAATTGATTTATATGTTTTAATATGTTTTGAATGATTTAATTGCCAAGAGCTTCTATCATATTTTTGAAGGATTTTATCATGGCTTGCCTACTTAATGTTGATTTATGAATACGCTATTCATATTTCATATGTTAAGTGACACGATAATTTACCCACAATTCAGTGGCGTCTGCCAGACCAAGTGTCCACCATATTTAAATCTTGGCTTTCACATTTTGATAGTAAACTATTATTAAAGAGCTAAACAAATTTATTATGATCATTTCTGACTTCAAATTTTATTGTATTCATTACAATTTTAAGTTACAGGAAATAAAAAATAGAAGTGATTAATTTAAAACTTTATAATTTGATATATTATTTCATTTATACACATTTTCATTTTTTTGTTTTTATTTGAATAAAATTTTGAAAATAACTTAAAAAAGCATTATAAAAATGACATAAAGAATGTTTTTAATTTAACAAAGTTTTTTTATATTCTTATAGCAAAGAAATATCATAAATTCTCTAAACACCGCCCAATACATTTTCAAAATGGGGTACAAAAAGATGTAAATACCGTCAAAATAAAAAGAATTTTTACTGCTTTTGTTAGGAAGGAGCACTAGTTTCCACAGAAATTTATACACAAAAAGGACAAGATAAGATTTGTACATGTCCTAAGTTCCTTCTGCTATAATCTTGGTAACTCAGTGTTTTTTTTTTCTTTGTCAAAAAAAAGAAGAGGGGACAGGGATGTTAATTCAACATACCGTACCATCTTTTACTATTGATATTTTGTTTCTTTGATATAACTGATGTACAATTATAAAGACAAATTTACAATACATGTATATGACACACTATGAGGATTCCAGGACTGGCCAACTAAAATTATTAAACAGTCTTTCATATGACTTTAAATCGAGGTCCCGTGTATGAGTGCTTAAACACTTGGAACACTTAACAACCAGAAGAACTTTCTGGAATTGACACATCTTTCTGTACCCGTATCTTGCACTATCCTCCAAAAATCTAAAATCATTAATACTCTTCTGAAGGACTCACCCATATGGGCAACCGGTGGGGAGTATAAATAAACTCAAATACAGACACAGTGTATCATACAATGTATTTATAATTACAAAGTACAACAGATAGATCATTTTATGTTTTTGAAAAATAATTCTTCAAACCACTATTGCCATGTTTCATTTGTTGCCAGTTTTTTGTTGAGTGTCTTCATACTAGGTGCCTCCACAATTCTCTTATGGTTTTTATGCTCAGCATTTCTTTCCCTTTTTATGTGGAAACTGGCAGCAAATAACAGATTTAAAATGCTTGCTTGTAATATATACATGTACATACCTACCTTTGTATTATAGGCACTGCATGCATATTTGAATTAAACAACTATTCATTGTTTTGTAATTTTTCTTCCAGATAAGATGAAGGATGGTTAAATTCAAGGGATGTAACTCATTATGGCTTGTGGTGCTTTACTTGAGTTGCTGGATGGCTTATGGAGTTGTCTGCCCTGACATGTGTACATGTGCTGAAAGATTGTACATCTACTGTGACCATGGCAACATGACAGACGAGGATTTGGTTCCAGTACTGAGTACTATACCAGCGGAGACGATATATATAGACCTGAGTCACAATAGTTTGACATTCATCCCAGCAAATGTGTTTAAAAAGTTTTCTGCCTTGATTTACATAGATCTTAGTCATAATGAGATTAGAAATATATCTGAGAATGTTTTCAGACATTTGAAAAATCTTCAAAAGATTTTTCTTCATCACAATGCATTATCAAGACTAGAAAATCAGACATTTACAGAAATGCCACTCCTGAAAGAAATTCATGTGTACAATAATGATATTAGTGCAATAGAAATGTGTGCATGTGTCAACACACCAAAACTTGACAAATTTTATGTTCACCATAATAAAATCACAAGTGTCTCAAATAGAACGTTAAAAAGTTTTGAAACAGTGAGTTACTTAGACTTGTCAGAGAATGGAATCCAAACGATAACACAGTATGCCTTCACAAAACTAGTCAGTTTACAAACGTTAATTCTGAGTCGGAACAATATCTCGGTACTTTCCATGCATTCATTTTCCGGTCTTACCTCTCTACATTATCTAGACATGAGTGAAAACAACATCAGTGAGTTAGAAGGTTTCATTTTCAACCCTATAAGGAGTTCGATAAAAACTTTAGTGTTAAAACGTAACAGATTAAAATCGATTCACAGCGATGTTTTCTACAACATGAGGTCTCTGACAAAGCTTGATCTGAGTTATAATGAGATTAATACTCTCGGCAGCAGGATGCTCCTTGGTGTTGGATTAGAAGAACTTCATATCCGTGGCAACAACTTGACTGAAATTAATACTGAAGTGTTTGTTGGTGCAAAGAAAATAAATGTGTTGGATGTAAGTCATAACAAATTAACTGACATCCATATTCGTGCATTTAACAGTTTTTCTGAAAATATATATGAGATAAATATTGAATACAATTATTTAACAAGACTTTTAGCTGGTGTGTTTGAAGGAATGAGATTTTTACAGTCTGCAAAAATGGCAAACAATTCTATAAGTTATATAGAAGATTGGACATTCAGAGATTTAGTGAATTTAAAGAAGTTGGATCTCTCATGGAACAAGTTGTCAACTGTGACGCTAGAGATGTTAGAGGGATTGGGGTCATTGAAGGTCTTTAATCTTCATTTTAATCCTTTAGTTCGCTTTGAGTTCCCAAAGTTTTCAGATTCACAGGGTACAGTTGAAATAAACATGAATTTGACAGTCAGTGACATCACACATAACTCAGTAGCTATAAAATGGCCGTACACGGCTGGGTCTCAGATCTACTGGTCACGAGAGGTCACTTGTGTAAAGGTGGAACACTGCTCGTTCAGACCTCAACCAGAATTCTTAGCTCCGTATGAAACAGACATTATACTAAACAATTTAGAAGCAGACTCTCTGTATTACGTATGTATAAATCCTGCATTCCGATCGAATCAAATAAAATTTCATCAATGTCTACATGTTCGGACAGATAAAGTTTTTATAGAAACAACTATCCCAGTGATTACGGTGTCAGAAAGAGATATATCAGCAGCAATGCATTGTTGTTATTCAGCTTATATCTTGATGTGTTCATTTCTTATGTTTATTACCTTATTGCTGTAATTTATCTTTTTTTTAACCCTACCATGCTAATTATCATAAATAGACTTGTCCATCTTTTATTCTGGACAAAACCATTCATCATTTTAGGGAAATTTTCAGTATACGTACTGATGAAATAGCAAACAGTGCAGACTATGGGCAGATGGCATGGATTTGCCAGCTGATCTTGGTCTGCACTGGTAGCAAGGGTTTTATTATATTAGTTGATGCCGGCATGCTTAAGCTTAACACTGTGAAAGACCTAATTCTCAAAGAGAATTTATAAAGTTGTACACTGAGAAATTTTGTTCTGGCCCTATATTATTATGGCTGCAATGGCTTGTCACTTTCAGTTCCAGCCCTTAAGGGTTATTCATATTGTCACTAACTGTTAACTTTATAAACAAAAAGCCAACTTTTACAACATTACTTTGAAAAAAATAACAACTGTAATTCTACTGTTATTGTTGTTGAAATGTTTTAGGCATGAAGATGCATCCTTTAAAGGATACTTTGTGGTTGATGTTGTTCATTTTTGGTACGAGAGATGAAACAGTAATATCTATGCACAATTTCTTTCCATAAAATAAACAAATTGAAGTGTTGTGTTGGAAATTTATATAACTATTTATAATATTAAGATATAACATATTGTTACAGACTTTATAAATATTAAAAATAAAAGTTTATTTATTTTATTGGCATTGTTGCAGCAGAAATTTATTTTTCTAATGTGGTAAATTATTTTTTGAAAAATATTTTTGTATAAAAAAAAATGTCTCAAAATACCAAATTGACAAATAACTTTTTTCATTTTCTTATTGATGTTTATTCTTACATATTTAAAACAAACAAATCAAAACTATATGTTTTGACAGAACCAAAAAGCAAATATTGCCTTTTATTTCAAGGGAGCCAACTTAAAGTTTATAAAATTTCACTTCAATTGAATTGCTCTCCCTTGTTTTTGATTGTTGCAAATAGCCAGTTCAAGTGTCTAAGTGACATTGTTATTGTTTAAAGAGGTTTAATTTTAGAAAAAAATATTTTTTTCAAGCATTTATTTATCATTTTATTGTTAAATTTTGAGAACTTTTTAAGAGAGTATTCTTAAAGCATATGTGGCAATGTATATAAAAGTTTAGAGAAAGAACTAACTCATTTTTCTTTTTACTTCAATGAATGCAATATAGACTTATAGTGGTTTAAGTATTGTAGTGTTCAGTGCTCATTATCTATTATTTATGATTTTATTTCAACATGTTCATCCTGGTATGTTGAATAAATTTCATCATTTTTAAAGAATTTAAGCATTTTATAATGAATGTCCCTTGATGTAATTGCAACTCTGTGATATTTATAATTATGTATATATTTGTTCATGAATTATTTGTTGTTTTATTGTAAACTGCAATATTCTTTTCTTATGTATGATTATTGCAGGTATTTATATTTTTGTATATGTTTTGTATAAATGATGTAATACAATTCAAATGAATTCAAAACAAAAGATCTTTGTTTGTTTTTGTATTAACAAAAGTTTTATGTTGTTGTTTTGTATTTACAAACAACAATAACTATTTAAATAGAGCCACATTAGTATGATGCTGATGGACTGAGAATTCATGGAAAGTAAGAAATGTTGAATTTAGAACATTGCTCTAAATTTCAGACCCTTTAACAGAATTCTTTAAAAGTGCCGTTTGAAATAGAAATTGTACTGTTGGCAGTTGTCAGCAAAATATTATAAGTCAGAGTCAATGAATAATACACTCTAAAACTAAGTTTGTAAATTTCACTTTTTATCTTGTTTTCTTTGCTCATACAAGATCTCTCCATTATAAGATATTTACTCTCACAACAGTAGATGTCAGCTGTTTTAGCATCTTCGAGATCATTCACTTCGGAGGAGCCATAATTTCTTAAATGCTCAAGTGCATAAGTTGTATTCACAGTAATTTTTTGTAAACTTTGGTATAACCAGGGGCTTAATCAAATTTTGTGAACCCAGGGGCTTGGTCTAATTTGATGGACCCAGGGGCTTGGTAAAAAATTTTTGAACCCATGGGCTTGGCCAAATTTGGTGAACCCATGGGTTTGTCCAAATTTGGTGAACACAGGTTGTTTCAATTTTGGTGAACCCAGGGGCTGGGTTAATGTTGGTGAACTTAGGGGGTTGGTCAAATTTGGTTAACCCAGGGGCTTGGTCAAATTTAGTTAACCTTGATCAATGTTGCTTTTAGAGAGCTTTGTGAGCATGCTTCTAATATCTCAGCTCTTGGTCATATAGTTTTACAGAAGATTAAAACATTCTTACTGCCAAATATTTAAGTTCTTAACCATGGTTCAGACATATGCACAAACATTTAAGTGTAGCTAAAAGTGTATTTTCTCATTTCTTTTAGAAGATTTTCTTGATTCATTAGAGATTTATTTCCCTTTCATTTCTTTTTGCCTAATTAACTATAGTCTTCTGAAATTTGTAAAGTTAGTTTCCTAAACAAGTCTATATAAAATAAAAGTAACTTCCACTTATTCATTGGACTGGGCCATTTTTGACCGTTGAGGAAAGATTTATAAAACATTTGGAAAGGTCAGTCAGTCAAAGCTTCATGTATGAGAAGATATTGTTTCACACAAGATTTATATACATGTACGTTTTCCTATACCAGTCTATATGCCAATTTAGACCATAGTGGCATTATTTTGTTTTGGAAAAAGATTTTTCTTAAGTTGCCTTGGCAACCAAAGTCTGGCAAGGAATAGGATTATTTGAACAATTTTGACAGGGCTACATGCAACGAAAATTTGTGCCCAGTCTTTGATATTGACCTAAGATGTGGTATCGAAGGATGTTGTTTGAAGAAAATTGTAAATGGGCATACTTTGTGCTATGTAATGTGAGCTCCGTCACTTTGTGCCAGCTGAGCTACAAACTATATCGACAACTTTTCATTTGTGTTATAGCAAATGAGTTGATATTTGTTAATAATGGTGTTTATAGCTGGTTACGTAAGTATTTCCTTTCATAACTGCTGGTTCACAACATAACCAAAATGCCATTGAATTCTGCACAAGTCTGCAAGTGATTTACCTGCCATCAACTGCCATGTTTGTAAAGTTTATAGTTTAAGAACTACATAGTCCAATGACCTGTCAATTACATGAATGTTTTATTAGTGGCTGAGGAAAATCTGTTTTTGACAGATGCATTTATGTTTGGAAAGTTAGTGTAAGTAAAGTTAGTGTAGGCAAATATATAACAAGAAAATCATTGATGCAAAGCATCAAAGGGCGACGCCAAAAGAATTTGATCCAGATTTGCACCTAAATACTTAACAAAAGATGTGTACTTTATAGCAGTACCATTACATGTGACCTGGAGGCTAGGGCCAGTTTAAGTTGAAACTTAAACCAAAAAAGAATAGACTCTGTCTTGCCAAGATGCAAAGACAATTTATAGTCAATTAAGCAATCTTATAAGACTCATGCTATAAGAAAGAATTTCTTCAGATTTATTTTATGAGACACAAGAATTCCTGAGTCATCGACATATAATCAGAGGCACGAGTATCGGACCTGGGAAGAAAAAATATGACCAGATGACCAGATTGATAAAAAAAACTGTGTTTATAAAAACCAAAAAAAAAAATGTAAATAATGATCCCCTTTAAAAATATACTATCAACTTGAAGAATATTTTTAAAGGGGGTCATTATTTACATTTTATTTTGGTTGTTGACACTTTTAAGATGAACACAGGTTTTTTTATCAATCTGGCCATATTTTTTCTTCCAAGGTCTGATACTCGTGCCTGTGCATTATAATAAAAGCTTACTGCTTAGGGTTGAAGACATGTAATTGACATATATTAGACATAAAAGAGGTACTAAAATGAACATCAGTGGGACAGCATAGGTACTCAGAGCAGTAGTAGAATGAGTACCAGCCACATCAACCAGCTACTATCAGAGATAAGACTTAAACCATGTAAGAATGTCATTATATATGGCAGATGCTTGAAGTTTCATGAAGAAGAAGAAAAACAACTTCTTCATGTGCAGTATAGTGTGTTCAACTGTATCAAATGCCCTTTGTAGATCTAAAAGTATCATACAATACTGCCTTTGTCCATTTCAAATAATGCAATCTGTTAAATGAATCAAACATGTGTCAATTGAAAAACCACTTCTAAACCCTGACTAAACTGCCTGACCATGACTCGAACCCATGACTTTCAGAAGACCAACTGAGCTATCCGGCCTGCTACACATTTTCTCTTTAATAATGAAACAGTTCTAAAACCACAACATATTTCCCCGCTATATCGATTTGTGTTCGTGAATTTCTTATGTTACAGAGCATAGGAAATTGAACTCATGCTTATATGCAGTCACAGGATGAGAAAAACTTTGAGCTTGACCAGAACTCAAACCTGTGACCAACATAAGAAATTTTATGAAGGCTGATTTGTATTTTGCATCAAGGGCACCGGGCAAAAAACATGAAAATGCAACAAACAAACCACTTTGTGGTAGATTGTATTTTCATGTTTTCATCTGGCGCCCAGTTACTTTTTGTACTATGTTTGGTTTTCATGTGGCACAAATCACCCTCTATAAATTTAGTGCACAAATTTATTCAAGGGCAAGTAACAATCTACTCTATGTACAGTCTGTTGTCGGGTTGACTCAGGAGACCTGGAGGTTGAGACCGGTGTCCCTTCATTACAAATAGATAAGACAGAAGCTGTTCTTTTCAAACTATGCACATGTTAGAAAAAAAATAGAATAACTATTCAGAATATGATTTTTTGAGACTTTATTAATTATATTGATTGATCCAAGTTTAAGGACATTTTCAATCAATACATGTTTTATCATTTATAACTTTAATTGAAAGTCTCATCCCTTTAATAATAATGACATAACTGTATCTCTTTAAATGCAGAAAAATTATCTCAAAAGTCTCAACATATCAATATACTACTGTCTAAGATATACATGTATGCACATAACATTAATAATTCCCAGTTTATATTAAATAAATATGAAATCTAACATTGACATTAACATGCATTTGATGACCTTACAACTGGTGAATTATATACAACAAAAATAGTATTATAAGTAATACCTAAGATAGACAGAAAAGAACAAATAATTTAGTAAACATGAGTTACTTCCCCTTACAATAAAGAAAACCTGAAACCCAAAAGAACACCCTAAACAGCAAAATAATGAAATGCTGCAGGTTCAGTTTTTTATCAAGCCATGCAAATTAATGGTAAAGTATTCATAAAAAAATAGATGGCCATGTGTCAGCAGTAATTGCAGAAAATCGGATAGCTTTCAACATCCGGATACTGGTACACTTTGTAAAAACAACCATTCTGCGCAACAGATAAATGTAATAAGGATAAAATCAATAGGATAATCGTTTACAACAGTTCCATTACCTATCCTTATACTCAATTGCAGGTGAACTTTCTTCTTGTAGGAAAATTTTGAAAATGTATAAATGAATGAATGAAACTGATACGGCCTCAATCTAGACCACAACGATATTCGAAATCCGGGTTTTAGTATTGTCATTAAAACTAAGGGACAATCTGTTAAACTTAACCTGCAATTTCGTGAAAATAATATCACAATGCACATGCTTTTTACATAAAGTTATTAAATACAAATATAACAACACATTTGTTTACTTGATTTTTACGAATCAAAATAAAACTAATTAACACAACATGAAATTAACTGCTAATAATAACAGCTCCTTCCATAGGCAAAAATAAAAAGCGTTCCATAATAGACGACGCCGCTCACCGGCGTCGCCAACAAAGTGATGTAGGTTAAACAGCACAAATAAAAACCTAGAGCCTCCACCAGGCATGTCCCACACTCAACTTTTTCTTACAAAGCCATAAAGAAATCAGAAGTAAATTTCAATAATTTGACCTAAAAAGGTCAAGTTAAGGCCAATTCATAATGCTACTTAAAGAAATTATGCTTAAAAT